AATTAAGGAAGCGTTACTGTGGAATTAAACTAGACGCTTTCTTTCTTCTTTTCCTCCTTTCTTTATCTCTCTCTCTTTCCACACACACACACACACACACGCGCACACACACACACACACACACATACATATATATATATATATATATATATATCTTTGCATGCGTATTGGGAAGGTCAGCGTAGCTAATCAGGATGACCATTAATACTGAGTATTGAGTTCGATCTTCAATGGATCCCCTATACGAAATCCGACGTAAAAGAACCTAATAAGTGTTGATACGTTGTAAAGTAAACTAACCTAATCATTTTCATAGGAAACTGAAAACACTTTGGAATAACGAAATATGACTTCCAAAATCTAAGCCAAGCATTAAGAGATAAGAAAATTTCGTTAGGAGTGCTGAATGATAGGAAAGATTTGTCTTCCTATGTGTCAGTGGATGTCGGATTATCTCCGCCTTATAACCTAAATATATATGGAAGAAAACCATATATTCATTTTTTATATATATAAAAAAAACATTATTATTTATATTCGGACTATTGCTCTCATCATTGTTGTTGTTATCACAACGTTTCGGTCGTTATACCCTCAGACCTTCTTCCGCTGTATATCGACTTGGGTAAGCTACAATTCTGAACTGATCCTTTATTTAATCTAGGGGGCGGGCAGTCTGTTCGCGTTCCACTGATCATGTCTAGTGATACCGTCTAGTTCATACTTTTATTAAGTATTGCGCAGTTATTGAGTGAAAGTAATCATTGCATCCCAAGCAAGTAATAAAGCCGCTAAGTTGCAAGGGGTTATTGACAGTGAAAGAAGCAGAGAGAACAATAAAAGATCATAATTCAATTAGGACGATTGATATTGCATTTATGATCGTAGCTTACAAAGAAAGAAGCCGGAAGTGTCACAAATTTTTCCTTTGCGTTGAGCTCTCCAAAGGTCCATTTTCAAAATCTTTACGATAACGCTGAGTTCGAAGGTCAACCAATAGCATCAGTGCAAAAGACACAATTATCTCAACCCACAAGGCATTCTAATAGATCTATAAATATACATATGAATACGGATCAAATATAGATCAGAATCTGACAGAATCATAGGATAATGAACAAACAGGAAACGTGTATATATCTAAGACGTTTCGCTTCACCAGAACATGAAATAATATAAAATATGGAGAAGAATGAAAACAATCAGTTATTTTGTGTTGCTTGCTTTTCATTGGTTAAGTAGATGCATCTATCATGTATCAGATTTTATAAAATAACTTTTATAAAATCCATAATTAAAGAATCTAAGATTATTATAACGCCGATTACAACCAGTGTAACCTAAATGTTTTCACTCCCACATAAAACTTTCTCACATAAATAACATTGACTTAAACTGAATAAAACTACCAACTAGACGCACTCGCATACACAAATTATCAACCGATTTCGGCATAGAATTATAATGCACATGCATTATACTAAAGTTACCGAACAAGACAGATACATGTGAAGTCTACTTAACCAATGAAAAGTAAGTAACAAAAATGAAAATATTTCTCAATGATTGATATTTCATTTTCTGATGAAGCTTTAATAAAAGCGAAACATGTTGCACTCTTAAGCGTGTTGTATTTGTTCTTTATCCTATCAAATTTATACGAGTGTGGGCTGCTTTTCTTGATCATTTCATAACCCAGGATAACTGTTGTGTTCAAGACTATCTATGCAGTAGCAACACTTCTCACTTGCCCAAAGAATGCCAAGAACATTTTATCTGCCAGGAAGGTAAAGTCATTGTGTTTACTTAGTATCTTTAAAAGGGCCACAACATCAATGGAGAGTAATATGACAACTTGCTGAGGCTGTTACAAAAGGTTATCAAAATCAACCGCAAGGAAATCTGATGAAAGGGGCTTTGTTTCATCAGGACAATACTCCAGCACATTTTAGTTCCAAAGGCTACACTGCATAGCTGTGGTTTTGAACTGGTTGATCAACCTCCATATTCTCCTTATTTGACTATCATCTGTTCCCCAACATAACAAAAATACTTGAATGGGAACCGGTACCGCAGTGATGATGACGTTTTACTGCTATGACCTTTTTGATCAACAGGATGAACAGTCTTCTTTGAACAGTCAGATATCAGTTTACCTGGAAAGAAACAATGCAGTTATTAATAAGATTTGAAATTAATGCATGCAAGATTTCCCAGCTCTGGAATCACTCCTACATAGCCAGCCTATGAACTTTTCAGTTCATATATATATATCACACATTATGAAATGGACAAAGTCCGACAATTATTTTAAGACAATTTTATGTTTATACATTCTTTTTATAGATACAAATATTTAAGTAAACGCTTTTATAATAAACAGTATTAAACAACATTTACCGGCCTGAATGTCCGAGAAATTTTCATATAAAATTTTCGTCCTCCGACAGGAATAGAAGCTGTATCCTATACGGAATCGTCATAGAGCCTGACGTGCCTTAACAGAGGAGCGTTCGGTTAGCAAGGTCGATTTTACTGTCTTTAAACTTTAATCTTCCATGAATCCCTCACGTACATTCATATCTGCTCATGGCGTATCAAATGTAAACAAATGACGTCACACATTATGTCTTAAAATAATAATCTCGCTGCTCAATCGCTACTTCCATGGCATGTGTTCTGACAAGCTACATTCCTTAGTACAACCACCTCTGACCTTTACAGCTGAGACTAACCATGTCACCTACACAACGGAAAGTAATTTCCATTCCCTTCGTATTCTCATAGTAAGGAGTAATTTCCATCAGAACAGATTCTTCCAAATAACTTTGTGCAAGAGACTCTCGCCAGGTTTTTTTTTCTGATGCTAACCTCCAGGATAGTGACTTGCTGCGGCTTATTCGAGCTAACATTTTCCGCTGACATGAAGTGGAATGGTTATATTGATTTAACTGCTAGTAAAGTTGGTTCAGTGTGTCGAACTAGACACCTTTTCTTTTCAGAATCTTATATCGTTTTAACTCAACCATTCATCTGTGCATCGCATATTACTGCCACATCTGGTCTGGTGCTTCTGCTATATATCCAGAGTTCCTTGACAAAATACAATGAATAATCTGCAACGTTATCGCTCCCGACCTGGCGTCTCGGCTTCAGTCACATTTTTTGCAGTCATAACGTAGCTTCCCTGTACCTATTCTATAAATATTTTCGGTGTAATTGTTCTTATGAGATTTCCTCTTTGCTACCTCGACTTCACGAATTTAAGCGAAATATTAGATTGGCACATAGGTTTTAAAATTTCAGTGTTGAAATTGCTAGATGTAACCATCAATTCTATTCTAATCGTTTCTTCTTCAGCACTTCTTGGTTGTAGAACTCTCTTCTGATTTCTTGCTTTCCTATCATCTCCGATCTTAAATGCAATATCAATCGTCATAATTGAATCATGCTCTTTTATCGTCCTCCCTGTTTCTTTTACTCGCACTAACTCCTTGCATCTTAGTGGCATTTATTATTTTGCTTGGTATACAATGACTACTTTCACTGAATAACTTACTGAACATCATTATGTGTATAACTCGAAACAGCTACATTTGAAAGATATTCATATTTACTTAGAAGTTTAAAACAAGCGAGCTTGAACTTTCTACCTCAATCTCCTTCCTGTGAAACCGTGAAGAATTATTATGTGGGATCTAAGCGTGGCATGGACAGCACAGATGACTCTCAGCCACATCGTCCAAAAACTTCAACCACTGATGAACAAGTTGATGCCATTCACCATATGGGTGTGGATGACAGACGCCTTACTGTCCAGCACATAGCTAAATCCATAGGCATTAGTACTGGTTCGGTCCATACGGTTTTAATTGAGATCTTGGAGATGAGCAAGCTGTCTGCAAGATGGTTCGCAAGAATGCTGACACCAAAGTAGAAGTTGAAGAGGATTGACATTTCCAGGACACATCTTACTCGCTTCCAGGCTGACTCTGAGAATTTCCACTTCAGATTAATAACTCAAGATAAAACCTGGGTTCAAACTTCGAATCAAAGTTTCAAAGCAAAAACTTGGGAACACACTGGTTCTCCATCCGTGAAGAAGTCCAAGCAGACAACATCTGTTGGCAAGGTGATGGCTTCTGACTTTTGGATTCTGAAGGCGTAATCATGATATACAATCTGGAAAAGGGAAAGAGCATAAATGGACAGTACTATGTATCAGTATTAAGACAACTGAAGGAAGCAACCAAGTCGAAATGTAGAAGAAAGCTGAAGGCAGGTGTGCTCTTGTTGCAGGATAACACGCTCATTCTCATTGCCCAGGTTGTAGAAGCTGAAGCACTCAACTGTGACTTAGAATTGTTACTCCACCCGCCTTACTCACCAAACTTAGCTTCATCTGACTTCTTCATGTTTCGTAAACTCAAATCACACCTGCGTGGTCGCCATTTCGAAAACACTGATGAGATCGTATGTGCTGTTGAGGTGTTTCTGGAGGACCAGTACCCCACTTCTTTCGTGATGGAATTGCATTGCTTAATCTTCGTTTACGCATCGTTAGATCAAGTGTATTCATGTCAAGGGGTACTATATTGAAAAATAGTGAAAAGCTGTCTTGTTTCTACGTCTCCTTCTGAGTGAGGTTTACAATTTTTGGAACGTCTCTCGTATCTATCTATCTATCTATCTATCTATCTTATGTGTGTATATGAATTTGCCTTTTACTCATAAAATCTAAGAAAATGAATTCTTGGTTTTTTCACTACTTGTCAACAACAGGGGAAATGTTCGCTCGAAATAAATGTTCTAGCAATTGGCTCCAGAATTACCTATTCAGATTCTGCGAACGGTCATTGTTGCCACTCAGTGCTACTGTCGTCATGAGAAATATTATCCCGATATCTCTGACTGTACAATCACACGCCTGCGCACATGAATAAAATCCAATTGTGAAACACCAATTCCAGTATGTCTCGACAAATCTTTATCTATTCTGATTAAGGATTAACACTGACTACAAATGAGAGAGAGAGAGAGAGAGAGAGAGAGAGAGAGAGTGAGTGAGAGAGAGAAGATGGAGAGATAGGGAAAGGGAGAGAGTGAAAGACAAATGGGAAAAAAGAGTTAAAATTTGTGGAGAGAAGAGATAGAGAGAGATGGGAAGGACAGAGTTGGAGAGGGAGAAAGAGGAGGAGGAAGAGAGAGATAGGGATGAGTGAGCTAGAGAAGTGGAGAGACTGGGACAAAGAGAGAAAGAAATGGAAAGGAGAGTGTTGGGTAGAGAGCGAGCGATGGGCAGTGGGAGATAGTGAAAGAGAGATGGAAAGGAAAGAGTTGACAATGTGGAGAAAACATATATTTGGAGGGGAAAAGATAGGGATAGAGAAAGATGGAGAGGAGAAAGCTATGGACATCAAAAGAAAGGGAGAGAGATGGGAAGGAGAGAGTTGGAGAGAGATGGAGAAAGAAAGAGAGTGATAGGGGTGAGAGAGCTAGGGACGGAATAAACAAGGAGATAGATAGATATGGATGAGAGAGCTAGGGAGGGGGAGAGACAGCGACAGACGGAGAGAAAGAGATGTGAAAGAGAAAGTTGGGTGGAAGGACAGAGAGTGAGAGAAATGTTTTCTTTAATTATCAAAATGCATATTTATTTATTTTTTTTATATGTCGAGGTATATATCGATTGTTTTATTTTATGCGCTTTTAGCATGTTTACTTTATTAAGAATGTTCATTATCATTAAGAATTATTATATTAAGAACATTTAATACATTGTAGGGAAAGCATTTCGATTCGTAATGTTTCTTGTGTTTATCTTTGACTATTGGTTCAGTATTGTCGATTTATTTCCGTATCATTTATTTTCAAACATTTGCCGATAATATTATTTTATCATTTTCTTATGTGTTGATTGGAGCCACATAACATTTTTATAGAAGAGGACGTATTTCCAAATTTGTAAGAATAGTGTTTCGCGGTGTAACATTATTTTGTTTTGTTTACCTTTTTACTATTGGTTCAAATCAGACTAGTCAATTTTTCTATTATTTATATTTCAAATAATAAAAATGTTCTGATATATTTGATGATACTTTTATTATTTCCTTATTTATTGTTTGTTTTCTAAAGTAAGTGGTACATTTAATGACAAAATATTTACACCAACATCCAGAGTAAAATAGATATGCGACTTTATGCGTGTATGTTTCTATCTGCGTACCTCTGATGGTCGCTCCTTATCGTAGTGGAGAGGCTTACGCGGTCCAATGAATCTGAGAGATGCCGAGGGGAGTTTTAAACTTCTAGTAGGACCATCGTTTGCGGCAAGGTCGAAGACGAGTACCAAGACCAAACCCAAAGACCCCAACTTTGGAACAAGTGGAATGATGATTACGACAGATCTCAACAGTTGAACTAGTGGATGAAGAGGGCTACGCATAGCAGACAGAAGATGCTACTCGAAATTATTACAGAGTCAGAGGCAGTCCGTTGCAGTTTCATAACTGGATTCTGCATGTCTCATTCAATATGTACCACAGAGGAAGGTCATAGAATCAAGTGCATTGGTCATTTCTTGGCAAGTTGAGTCCCACCTTAAACAAATCCACGCTATTGGCAGTTTCTTCTATTCTGATTTTCTTTTATCTCCAACCAAATCTTGCAAAGTCAAATGGTGATAGGGATTGGATGACGGGATAGGGATGCAGGTTTTGGTCCTGAACCTGCACGTTAGCGGCGAATTTACTTTTCAACGCCATCATCATAAAGGAAGCGATCAGCAAAAAAAGCAATTGAATTCTTGGATAAAAGATAAAGCCAACGATGACTTCATAATCCTGACTTGGTTGCTTCGGATCCTCAACAGCATTTACCTTTGAAGTAGTTCTATGCAGATGATGCCACATTCTCCGAAGAAGATTTTTATACACTTGTACACCAATAAAACAAATCAAATTCTATGACGACTCTGCGGAAAATAACATTAATCAAAGCATTGGCGAAATTTACACAATATTTTATTTGAATAATAACAAGAAAACTACAATGCATTTCTAAAATGTGTGTCTGCTTCAGTAGAGAAACACATAGATTGTGCAACATATTATGCTACAATTGACAACTTAGGCAAGGCTTTCATCGAGAAGGAAAAGGCAAACATTGCAAACTCTTTTCCAGCTGAAGTGGGAAGATTATATTGAATCAAACGCTAGATGTGCTGCTCGGAATGTTGGTTCACTGTGTCCTGCTAGACACTTTTCTCGTCCAAATTTATTTTGCATATTTATAAAATCTCAAGATCAAATCTCTTCCCGTTTTTTGATTTCCAGTCAAAGTTAATAGTCAAACAATTAAATGCAATGTCAATCATTATCTTCTGTCGTCTTAATTCTTCTGCTGTTATTGTTCTCACACCTTTTTGTTCTGTTCTTTCACTCTGTTTTAGTGGCTTTGTTACCTTACTTTGTGTAAAATGATTAAGGACTAAAATGATAGACAATTTCCTTCAGCGATTTCCAAGTACAAAATGGAGTATATTCTGATACAATTGGTACTGACCCCGATGTCATTGACATCAAGAAAGAATACCAACACTGGTACTTTATCAATGAGTGCAAAGATAATGTGACAAGTAAAAGACAATGCATTATTAAAGTGTGTCGCTGGTTCAGTAGAGAAACGCATAATAGTGTAAAATATGATGTTGCCATTGACATGCCGGACAAGCCTTTAATCGAGAATGAAAACGCTATCTTTGTACACTCAACTTCAGTTACAGAATAATAATGACTAAAACTATGAACAAATCCCTTCAAGTATTTCTAATTTGAGTAAAAACTGCTAGATTACGGCTCTTACAGCAAAGAAGTAGAATGAGCATTTCGTTCTCGATGTTCTATAAATGGAATTCAGTCTGGCACAAGACATGAGCAATTGTTTGAAACCCAGAAACTGAGACAACCAGATTTAAATGACTGCTAGGGCGCATGAACGTGCTCTGCAGATCAAAGCATCATGCTCAGTCAGCTAACTGCTGTTCTGCCTACAGAAGATGATACAAGGATGGTCCGGAAAGTATCATCATCATCATCATCATGTCGACTGCTTTGTGGGGAGCAGAAAGCAGATGAAACAAACTTTGATTTGTCTTCTTCATGGTTTTTGCAAAGAGCTTTCAGATAGATTGGCGCCGCCAATCTCTCCAAGCTCTTGACTGACAGCCGAAAACTACAGAATATTGTGCGGATTGCTCACGGTCAGTACTGTAGACCCTCAGGTTTTGAATACTGAGTTGTCCTTCTCCTAGATCGATTGTCAGGTCCCAGTTAGCTGGGGAGAGGGTTAGGGTTAGGGATTCATACATTTCTCAAGGATATTAGCATGTAAGTGAATGTAATGTACTTGAGTGAATTTCAAACTTGCTTCTCCGATTCCTCAATCCGAGCCGCATTTACGTAAAAATCCTAACCCTTAACATACAGGTAGGCAAAATTCAACTGTAATGAAAATAATCTAAAAGCTGTAGACACAATGCAATACGGGAGTATGGAGTACTTTTTAACAGACAGAACAGCTTTAATATTGAACGCATGTATATGTGACGTCAAAACAAATATGACCGCCACCATAAAAGTATAGATACAGGTGTGATAAAAGTTTTGAAAGTTGGTGCAATAATCTAATAGAAATTCACTGAGAACATTTTACTGTGTATGGCTAATATGTAATTAGCATGTATCCATCGGGTGCAGCGCATTCAAAAGGGGTCCTTCAAATCTTCAAGTCATGCCTCGTGTAAAGCGTCTATGTTCTTAGATGACAGAAAGCAATATCGCCCACAAAGAAGCTTTGATTGAAAAGGAGAAACAGAGCAAAATTTGTAATATGGTTGTTGAAAATATTCTTCCAAATGCAGTGGTCCATTAAATTGTTGTACTATCAGAAAGTGTTATCTTTTTGAACTCCTTGACTGAAGAAGGAAAACACTTGGGTGTCCGTCGTCACCACCGTCCAGTTCAAATTTTAGTGAAGAAATTGATGAACCTGAGATGCACAATAGGCGCAATTAACTGATTTCCTACCATGTAATCAGACCGTTAATACAATCAGATGATGTGTTGCACTGGACAGATTGCTCGTTAAAAGAGACCAGGATATTTCTATAATGGTGTCATCCGATTCCACATAGATGACGCTGTTGTTGGAAAGGTGCAAAATTGGCTCCAGTCGCTTGATGTCACTTACTTCGTGGAGGGTATTTATTCACACTTGCATGGACAATATGGCAGCTACGGGAGAAAGTAGCATACTAGTGTTGGTAACTTATGCACAAGGATTTATTTGTATATAAATAACAATGTTGAGTGAGGCCATGTTTTTACTTTATTTTGGGGACAACCCGCTTGCATATTCCTTCTCGATGTTCATTTCTTTGTGTTTCTTGTTTCTCCATCCAACTATACAAACTTTTAAAGGGATTATTTTTTGCTTCTTCCCTTGGGTCTCTTGCTTTTTACGTCTCTTGAATTCTCTAAGCCTTCTTTCCTCATTACGTGCACCCAACCATTTCAGTTGTCTCTTTCGGGTTGTTATCAACAGTTTCTCTGTAGTTCCTATTGTAAAAACTTCCACATTTGTCACATGCTATGTCCGTGGCATTCTCAAAATTCGTTAGTAGAATCAGTTCACAGTTACCTCATGACTATGATAATCTGAAACAGTTTTACTGCCATATAGTAAGATAGATATTACATAGTAGTTAAGCACGCTTTTCTTCGTTTTTTTGTGATATGACTATACTATGAGAAAAATAAATTCACTAAAGATTATTTTCTTAAAAGTTTTATAGAATTCTATAAATCTAGGGGCTAGGCAACGTTAATTATGATCTTGCTTCCTTCAACGTTTGTAGTAATCATTTTTGCCTGATATTTCATATTACTATAAATTATCGGAAACGAAAAATCGTTTCATGAAATTATCTGGATTAGTTAAAATAATCTGTTTAATTAGATTTTCTTCAAACAGTATTGAATTATATAAACAATGCAGGTCGATTTTGGAACCCTAGTATTGCACTCCGTTTAAAAGTTTGGGTTTTACATGATAAATATTATCACAAAATATTTTTCCAAATTGTTACTGCTTACTGAGGAGATGAGTTTAAAGATTACGTTTAGATTCAAAATCGTAGAGTTGAAAATTACATTCCGATGATCAGTGAAAGCCTTACAGCAAAAACCTTATAAATTTCATAATTATTGAAGATTTACAAATTGTATACGGACAATATGCATGACACAAGCATATTATTACTAAATCATTGCGCCATCAATGACTTTCAGTTATTTCAAAGAGAAATTATACTGAACAATTTACCAATGTTATGACGCAATACATTATACAGTGCAATTTTCAAAAAACAATGCAAATTTTAAACGTTTTGTCTTATAATTTGTGCTCAACAAGTATTATGCAGTTATATACATTCTTATCTATTTTTTGTTTTCATTAATTATGATATAATAAATGATCTAACATTTCTTATTCATTGAGTAGCCTTTTCTGTAATTTTTTACAATTTTTTGTTTTTACTTATCGAATACAGTAATTTTCTTGTTTTTTTCTTATCGAATACAGTAAAAAAATTGCATATTTTGTTTGTGGTAATTCATAATTAGAAATCGTCTTTGAATATATTTTCCATTCAGTGTATCTAACACAAAAGATATTAAACTTTATCCAGATTTATTCTTGAAATAGTAAAATTAGAAGTCAGTTTGTAAGCAAAAACTCTGGAAATTAGATATTTTTGTACATCCTTTTCAGACGATCTTTAAAACTAAATGTTCTAAAATTGTTGGAAACCATGAATCTAATTTTTGTGTCAGTATTCATCGCATCAAACCCAGGTTTCATACGAATTGAAATGTAGATTTTCTAAAAAAAAAAAAATAGAAAAACCAACCTGCTCTAATGGTCAGGATTATGTCCAGAATAGTAAACATGTCTTTTTTATCAGACAACGAAAATTCTTGTGGATCTATGTATTCGTAGTTATTTTAAGAACAATATATATATATATATATATATATATATATATATATATATATATATATATATGTAGTGAACTTTACACAGCTAATCGATGTAATTAAGTACATCTTATATATAAAGTACAGTGTATGTGAGTGTGTTTGCGCGCGCACGCGTGTATGTGTGTGTCCAAGTAACTCCTCCGCTCTCACTGGTTTTATTTCAATGATTCATAGCTCATTCAAAAGCCCTAGATAAGACAGGCGCAAGGACGATTTTCGTTGTTCCCAGATTCAGTCTTGCCAGATTATGCAAGTTTAAAAATATGTATTAATATGTTCTACTAGCTAATATCGTTACTTTCATGGTTCAAGGGTTGTATTCAAAATTGCAACTAGCTTAAAATTTTAAGCTAGCTTAAAAGCCTCCCTATCGAGGAGGGGTCTTGGTTTGCTCATCATCACAACAGCAATGGTGGAGTACATATGATAGGCATCAATAAACTACAGAAGAACTCAAAGTTGATTGCTGCATTTAAGTACTAAATTAATGTTTAAGCTTACCTTTTAAAAGTTAAAAAATAATTCTTCTGCTGCCACTCAATTTAAAGACGATTTGATGAACGTAGGTCTTTATTTTCCGTACAAACAATTATTTTTATTTCATAAGTGACAGAACAGGGGAGAATTTATAAGATAAAATTAATATAGTGGAAAGATGGGAAAATAGAAATTAGAATTAGTTATACATTTAACACTTGAAAAGTTAGAGAAACACAATAGCTAATTAAGTAAAACCATATTATGGAATCTATATGAACAAATGGGAAACTAGAGCGCAATTTGTCTCACGAATTGTGAGATAAAAAAAATGCCTGATGGAAATTTACACACTAGGTAGTTACTCTGTCTCCACACTAAGCCGAGTTGTGAGTCAAGGTCATTTTTAAAGGTGGGGAATCCGAGCGCGTACACCCAGGCAAGGAACAAAATTTGTCCGCAGCCCATGCAAACGTCGGTTTCGCTGGCCTCGGTACGATCACCGATTGCGCCTTCTGCGGCAATGAGAGGGCGCGGCCTCGGGCAGCTGTTCCTCGGGGCTGGCCACCTCTCAGTATAATTTTCCTTAGTTTCGACCTTTGACGGAGTCGCCCCTGAGTGCACCCTAACCTCTGCCCAAAGACAGAGACGCAACTGAGAGATGATAAATATGTTACAAATTACTCAAAACAGTAATTTGTATTCACTCAACCCACCCCCACAAGGTCAGTTTAATGTAGGGAGCCCGATAGCGTACACCCGGGCAAAGAACAAATATTCCCCGAGATCCCACAACCGTCGGTTGCCCGGGCTCGGTGCCTGCCTCGATCCCTCTTTCTGGTGGAATGTGAGGGCGCGGACTCGGGCAGCTCTTCCCCAGTGCTGCGCAACTCTCAGTCTAATTTTCCACAGATGCGACTCTGTTCTTTGACAGTTCACTTTGACTCTGTTTCCCCACTAAGACGAGATGTGACACAATGTCATTTTTAAGGCGTGGATCCGAGAGCCTACACCCGGACCAGGAAAAAAAATTCCGCAGCCCCCGCAACCGCCGGTTGCACTGGTTTCGGTGCGAGCAGCGATCTCTCTCTTTGGTGAAATGAGAAACGC